GGTGAATTCGAAGGGCGGCCAGTTCGCGCGCGAGTTCATGCGCGACCGCGCGCGGCGTTATTTGCGCCGGTGGATCAAAACCGGAGATGGCGACGGCGGAGCAGGTCGCCGCGGCGAAGTTCGAGGACGAAACGTAGAACGCGGTCAGGGGCGAGAGCTGGAATATCCATGGGATGCCCATTAGAATTTTCGGATGGCGCTGGACAGGGAAGACGCATATGTTCCCGATCGGGGAGAGGATGGAGACGCACCCCAAGGAACGCGAAGCACCCGAAGCAGCCAAACCTGCCGGATCTAAGGAACAACCTGAGTGACAGCTGGTGAAGACCATGGAGACCATCGTGAACATCAGCCCGCCGGGGGCCTTTAACGACGCGGACGACCCAGACCTGATGGTGGATGTCCAGCAGACGAAGGAGGAGAGCCAGCCAGGACCGACCGCCGACTTGAACGCAAATCCCAAGACCAGAGACGCGAAGAGAAGGGTCAAGACCGACTTGTTCGAGAAGACGCACAGGTGGGCGCGGATGAGGGCGAACTCCGGGCCGATCTTGACGGGCTACGGGGCGTTCGCGAACGACGCGGCGGCCGACTGGGGCCAGCTGTACTGGAACAAGTTCGAATGCGCGGCCTGGGCAGCATCCGAGACCGAAGAGGAGATCAACATTCCGATCGATTCTAAGTTCATCGAGGTGGCCTTCGGGGCGGCGGGCAAGTCGAACGCGGGCAAGATCGCAAGCCAGCCAGAGAGGTGCATGTCAATGGCTCTCGCAGAGGGAAGAACCGAGGCGAGCATCAAGAGCATGACGACCGAATGGAAGCACCTGATGAAGGGGGCGAAGCTGGCTGAAGTGCGCGACTGGATCGCCAATGGCGTTCTCCAGAAGGTACCGACACGCCTGAAGCCGAACCGCGCGGACGTGCTGAAAACAAGATGGGTGCTGACGTGGAAGAAGGATGAGGCGACATGTGGCGGCCGTGCCAAGGCAAGACTGGCAATGCTAGGATGCTAGAGCCTCGTCTGGGTGAAGGACCAGCGATAGTCCGGCTGACCGCGACGCAGACGGCGAGGCCCAAGAAGGGCGGCAGGGGCAGGGCCCCCCAGCGGAGAAGCCGACCTGCGTCGAGGCGAACGACGAGCTGGCGGAGACGTTCGGAGTGCCACCAGGGATTGCGGTGAGACTCAAGAAGGCGATGCGCGGGCTATGCTAGGCACCGAAGTCGTGGCACGAGAGCGTAGACGCTTTGATGGAGCAGTTTTGTGGGCAGCGATGCGCGTCGGATCCGCGCGCGTGGGTCTTCGGCGACGAGAAGGGCGAAGTTTCTGGAGTGGTTGGCGCCCGCGTGGGCGACGTCCTGATCGCAAAAAGTGGTTGACCGCAGGTGGCGCGACATCGAGATGCAGTGGCAGAATGCTTCGAGATGGGCGCCCTGGGAGGAGGGTACCTTCAAGCAGACTGGCATGGCGGCCAGCCATGACGCGGTCGGCCAGATCACCCTGCACCCGAAGGACTTCATCGAACATATCATGGGGATAAACACTCCGACGAGGCGGCGGCAGCAGGAAGGCCAGAAGCCGACCGATCGCGAGATGGCGACGCAGCGCGGGGCCCTCGGCGAGATCCTGCTGACGGCGACGCGGACCGCGTCCAGGCACCGGGCGCAGCGCTCGATCTCCCAGAGCAGCGGGGGGGCGGCGACGGTGGAGACGCTGTTCTGGATCAGCAAGCTGACCAGGCATATGGAGACGGACCCCAACTACATGCTGAAGTCCGAGCCATTCGACAAGGAGGCGGTCGTGGTCGGCAGGAGCGACGCGGCCCGGGCGAAGAGACCTGGCGGTCTTTCGGCTGCGCCATCGGGATCGCTCCGAAGGAGGTCCTGGATGGGTGGCGCTCACCAGTGTCTCGCACGAGTGGCAAGCTTCAACGCGTGGCCAGAAGTTCACTGGCGGCTGATGCGCGGGCGCTGGCAGTGGGGCGACATGAACGGATCGTTTCAGATGCGGTTCTTGGGGCGGCAGGTGCCGGTCGTGAGGTAAGCCGATGCTCGATGGGGCGAGAGAGACCCAGGCTGTGGGCGGACGCGAAGAGCATCTATGACTGCGCGGCGAAGCAGGTGCAGATGCAGAGCTTTTTCGGAGAAGAGGGCGGCGCTGGAGCTGATGGCCTTCGAGCAGTGCGTCGTCGAGACGGGCCTCATTGCGCGGCGGTGCCGTACGGGGGCCAACCTCGCGCGCGGCCTTGCCAATGCGGCAGCGCCCGGGCCCGTCGAGCGGCAAGTGAGGACGCGGAGCTGGGCCCTAGTCGAGGACGGCGAGCAGCTGGGCGCCGAGCAGCGGAAAGGGGCGGGGCTTGGGCCGATTCGAGAACTACAGGGACTTCGCCGGATTCATCAAGGCGGCGTTCGAGAAGATCTGCATATCGCTACCAGACGCGGCTGACGGCGGCGAGCCAGAGTCCGAAGAGCTGTGCAACGGGCCTCCGACTCGCCGAGGCGGCGGCGGGCGCTGCGACCAGACACGCGACGCGGGGCGTGAGCAATTCTTTTTGTCGGTCGCGCGCATGGCTTTTCATATTTTAGTTGTCTGACGCCGAATGCCATAGAAGGCGTGGGCCTCAGGAGTGGCGCGCCATTGTGGGAGCTGCCATCATTTTATGATTGCGATTTCTGGAAGCGCATATCAAATTGCATGTGAACCGTGTTTCTTGCTAGCCGCTCTCCGTTTTAACTGCTGCTGTGCGCAGCCATCGTGGCTCCATGGGGCCCCTTGGGCCGCCTTTTGGGCGGTGCCCTGTCCTCGGGAGCTCCAGAGAGCTCGCTGCTGAACCAGATAAATAAATTCACCCCGAGGAGAAAAGCATGACACACCATCCCTTTTGAAGCTCTCTGGAGACGCGCTGCGCGCGCTGGCCCGTGGCGAAGAGAGACCGACTCGGACTCGCGCTGGTGAAGGAAATGAAGGATCGCGTTGAGATCGGTTCCGGCGCGCATATCGGCGAACCCGCACCCCCTTCGCCCTAACTACTCCGCCGCCGTAGCCTTTGGCCCTGGCTCGATCTCTAACCGCGCCCCCTCAGTTTCGACAGGCCTGGCCCAAAAGGCACCCCGCCCTCCTCCCCGCCCTCCTGCCCCTCGCCGGTGCTCCGTCCAAGAGCCAGGGCGCGTGCCACTTGCTTTCGTCGTCTTGCGTGCGTCGTGTTTCCCCACCCAAAGTCTCGCACCTTCCCTTGGGACCTTTTCATTTTCGTAATGGCTCGTCGCTGTGTCCAATCTCTCCCCCAGGACCGTGTGTATGCGCGGGTGTTCGCTGTTGCGCCCCTCTCGCCCCCGCGCTACCCCCCCCAGCTAGGCAGTCGCCACCGCGTCATATATGCACCACGTGCCTTCCAAGATGGGCCCGAAGAGGTTTCGTGGACGACGTGCGAGGCCCCGGGAAGCTTTCAGAAACTCCAATTAAGGCCCCAAGAACAAAACCAGAGAACCCACAACATCACATTCATGTGTGTAATTTTGTCGAGTGAGAGGGGAGGGTGTGGGCTGCCTTTTCCCCCAACAGTGCGTTCACTATGGATTTCTCATTATGTGCCTTACGCAATTGGTTCAGTCAGGCGACGATGTTCCACTTTGCCACCTCGTTGCCGCCTCGTGCGCTGGGCGGGTCCAGCGAGGTTTCGCCACGTTGCCGTTTCGTTGCCGCTTCGTGCGCTGCGTGGGTCCAGCAAGGTTTCGCCACGTTGCTGCTCGTTGCCGCCCCGTTGCTTCCTCTAGACGCTAGCTTGCGCCACGTAGAGTGCGAAACATTGTTTGCACAGCATAGCTTGCACCACGCAGGTTTCACATGCACACTGCAATAATTTTGTTTATTGGAGCCCACATTGGATAGCAGTGTTACTATTGCTCTTATGCGCTAAGAGGCCATAGTGTTCAAAGGCGTCATCATACGACCCAAGAGGGGAAAATGTATACTTTCCAAAGGCGGCCCACATAGAGTCCCACGAAGTCCCAAAATGATTCCCAGAGAGGCCCGAACCGCTCCAAGAGGGCCGCCAAGGGAACCCAATATTGCCCCAGAGCGCGCCACAGCGCCCCAAGGCTCGAGAGTGCTCCTAGAACTCCCAAGACGCCCCCAGAGGGCTCCCAGACACCCTCCCAAGACGCTTCCCGAACGCCGCAAGAGTTCCCGAATACATCCCGAGAGGGGCGGAAAACGCCGCAAGAGTCAGTCAACTTATGTCTTTCCCTCTCTCTCTCTCTTTCTTCCTGTCTTTCTTTAGTTAGTTCTCTCTCTATCTCTCTCCCTCTCTTTTTCTTTTAATCAGCTCCGCCTCTATTTCACGACCTTCTTTCCGCGGGCGTTCAAAACAAATGTGACACCCGTGCCGCTCGATGTCAGTTGGGAGTGTGACTCGAGCGAAAAAGAGAGTACCATTCTGAGTTTGGCGTGTGGCCGACACTACGGTGTTCATACTTGGGCTGTCTTTGAATTAGTTTAGATCGGATGCGGCAGGGTGCGGCACTCGCCAGGCCAGGCTGGGTCGTATTGCCAGGCTTTTCCTGGGCGTGTTCCCCCCATCGCCCGGAATGGCTCTTAGGATCGCCTTGAGATCATATCCTTGAGATCGCATTCGTTCTGCGCACCCCTCCAGCGTAAGGCACCAGCGGAAGCGCGGGAGCGTGCAAGTGGCACAATACTACGCTTTTGCATTGGCAGATCGTGAGACGATCCCTCACGCGAAATCCTGGGGCGGTCGAATCACATCCCTTCTCTTTCTGGCCCGGCTGTTCCTCAGCAGTCTCCCGGAAGCTTGCCGAGATTCAGAGGTTTTCGGCGCACGAACGAAGCTATACATGCGAGGCTGGCGTAGCGTTCGCTCAAGGTCTCAAGCAACAGTAGAGTGGCAGCGGATATGGCGTGCGTGCCCCAGCTTGACCAATTCCACGCTCGTCTAATTCCGCCAAGCGTTGTTTGTTTTTGATTAGATCACCTGGCGCGCGAGGACGTCCCCCAGCCACCACCGCCTCCCTTCTCGTCAGATGAAGGTACTGTGCAGGCGAGCGCACTTCGCTGTTCAATATGTCTTTGGACTGTGCATACATTCCCGTGTATGCGTTCCAGTGGAACCTGTGTACGCATTCCCGTACAAGCTTATGTGTATGCATTCCCGTGCAAGCAAAGCAACTGTGATGGTAGCCTATCGGTAACGTGTGTTTATCCATGCGTTCGTGTTTCGACCTTCAAGCCAGCGAGTCTTTCCGTCGCGCATGCACCTTTGAACGGCTTAGGCGGATGAGTTGAGAGATGAGTGGTTGAGTGGACTTGCGCGTACACGCTGTTGGGTCAAGTTGACTCTTACATTTGTCGTGCTGCTCAGATCGCCAGTGGCTCGGGCGTCCAAGGGTGCCTCTTCCCCGTCCGATTCTTCAGTGTCCTTCACCCGTCTGGCCCGGCCATATTGCACACGTGCAGCTGCCAGGCGACTGAGCCCCCGCCGCCACCGGACGACGAGCTGCTTCCAAAGCTGCCTGTGCCACCACTGCCAGTCAGCCCTGCTGGTTGTGCGGCCGAGGCGCTGCGAGCGGAATCCGGGCACTGCTGCGCAACAAAATCTCGAATCGCTCTTCACAAAATGGGTGGGAGTTGCTTAAGGCCAGTCCCGACATCAGGCAACGCGGGTAGGCCGCTACAGCTGCACAAGCACGCTGTCCGGGCTTGCGTGCTATGTTTTGCTGCGTCCTGCCTTGGGGCCTCCGAGGAACATTCTCCTCCTCCTGCTCCTCTCCATCCTCCTCTTCCTTCTCATATTTCTTCTCCTGCGTCTCGCCTGCCTCCTAATTGTATTCCTCCTATTTCTCTTCTCACTTCCTCCCCCTCCTCTCCTCGTCATCATCGTGTTCATCCTAGTCTTCATCGTTATCCTGTGCATTATCCTGTTCACCATCGTCCATATCTTCTTCATCCCTTGTGACGTACCGCCGCCTTGAACGTGCTAGAACCTCAGCGCACGAAGCGCGCGCGCGGTATATATCTACAGCCGCCTTCGATTGCCTGAATGTTGCTTGTGACTCCCATCGGCGCCTCTCATCCGAGGAGAGGAACGTTCTATGTAAGTTCGCGCCAGGTTCATTCGGGTGCCGGTATGTGCACGTGTGCGTCTGTGTGTGTGCGTGTGTGGATACAGTCCGTGTTGCCCGTGCAATGTCCACGTGCATTCCACGGAGATGGCCTGTCCCGAACTCGGGAGTCCACGGCTTTTTTTGCCCGCATTCAGCACCAGTTGTCGTATAGCTACGGGCTCGCTTTGCCTGCAATGTGGTAGCACCCGAATGTCTTCTAACCGCGCAGTCGGAAGAACAGAGTGTGGATGCGGATGCCCAAAGAACGATCCGACGGCCGCAAGAAGACCGCGTTTGACATGCTCGAATACACTGTGTGCGCCCGTATCGGATATTCATTGCACAGGCTGTTACTGGTAGCGCCCGCCAAGCGGAAGATAACAGTTCGGATGCGATTTCGCGAGCTTCTGGGATGCACTATTTGGTTTGGGGGGCCTCTGGCAAGCCCGAATTTTAGAGCTCTGGCGTGAGAGCGTTGTGAGCAAAATTGTGTCTTCTAGGCGTTCCGTGCAATTGCATGTCGTGACGCTCGCACGCCAAAGGGGGTTAATCGTCATCGACATACTTGAGGGAATTCGAGGTGTAAGGAAGTCCCACGGGCGGCCAACCAGGTTCGGCATTCGTTTGTCTTTTGTCGCTCGTTCCGAATCGGGGCGTATTTTTTTCTGGGGCGCTCCCGTGCTCGCGCATGCTGGCAACGATAGATTCTCTGCGTCTGTGAGGCTGGCGTTCGTGGGGGAGCTGTCGCGGCGTGATGCAGCGTGCAGGGTGCGTCCAAGAGGTCCCACAGCAGCTCCCAAAGGCACTTCGAATGGCATTTCAAGATCTCGAGGTGAGCTCGACGTGAAGGCCAGGGCTGGGGCAGCTGGCACAGCTGCAGAGCACGCCAGGGTGCTCCCTGCCTCCTTGGCCGGACACACACCCGGGCAACCCCCTTCATGCCCTGGCCTCGAGAGACACCCGGGCCTTGAGCGTCGGGATTTTTCCCAAAGCGGCCGTCCGATGGGGCTTGCAACGCCTGCGGCGCCCGAGGCGCCTTCCCAGCCGGCGGCCGGGCCCGCGGAGCCGGCGTTGGCACCCGCGCTCGGCGAGTGCACGAGCGAGGATTCTCGAGGAGCCTCGCCAGGGCGCCTCCTTGTCCTGCCGCTGCTGCTCCACATTATCCGCCGCAGCGCGCGGTCGTCCTCGTTCTCCTACATCTTCCTCCTCCCCCTCTTCCCTGAATTTTCGCCATGGAAGCGGCGAGACTATCGCCCACCCCCGAGGAGTGCTCACAGATTCCTCGACTCTTCCTCGCGACGTCGGCCCCCCCTCTCCCCTCCAATCCTTCTTCTCTCCCCCTCCACCTTACCCTCCCCCCTTCACCCCTTCACAGAAGCTTTGCCCCGCCATCCTCTCGTCTAGCTGTGCTCAGTGGACGTCCGCCCCAGCATCCCGCGCGGTTGGTATTTACGATGTTGTTTGCCTATCGTTCCTGGCAAAGGTATGGAGGGTCAATGCAGCATGCAGCTCACGTGTACCATCTTGTGCGGACAACCAACACATCCAGACTCGGCCTTGTGGCAGTTGCCCTGGAAACAACCGGGCAGGGCAGCTCAGAAATAATTACATCCAGACTAACATCGCCCCCAGCCATCGCGACGGTGAATCCATCGGAGGAGGAGGAGGCAGACGAGACCGAAAACATACCGACCAGTCCAATACAACAATGACACCCAGTCACCCGCCCGCTTCGACAATGACCGCTATAGTGGACCGTCTGGTGATTCCGACATACATCAATACCACGCAGCTTGCGAGTTTTGAGGGAAGTTCGGGCACCCAGAAAATTTCGGACTTCGGGGGATATGCCTCCTTGTATCAACACGTGAGTGGGTCCTCCTCATACATCTGACGTCCGTTGCCATTTCGGTTCAGGCTGCTATGGTTCCTGGCACGGATGTTTTGACAAACCAATGGCTGCGGACAACCTGCTTCACAGTCTCTCGCATGTTGCTGGGATGTGTGCGCGCCTCCTCAGCGCGGCGCCCCGACGGTGCAAGCTGTCGTCAGCAACTTGCTCCCTAGAAAGCAGGAGGGGCCCCATGGCATCGTCGGGTGATCAGTCCGATCCGCTCTTGGCCCGAAAACGTAAAAGCATGCTTCTCAAAACGCGTTATATTGGTCTATGTCTCTGGCTGCCTGCAGCTATGTCGTCTAGTGGGCTGTGGCCGAAACGGGGCCGAGTGCGATTCCTGGCGTACGTGCAAGGGGCCTGGTTCCCTTTCTCCTCGCAGCGGGTGGGGGTTGGCTCAGCCTGTACATTTGAGTCCAAAAGCAGGCGGGCTGAAGCGGGGCGCGCCTGGCTGTGCTCCCTCGTCATCATGTGCTTCTCGTAGAGCACACCCGTCACGAAGCCCACGGCGATCAGGACGATCGCTACAAACACCTTGATCATCACGCCGTGGGTCTCCGTCTGGCTCGCACCCGCCACGCAGGTGCTCGCGTCTGCTCCGTGTGCGGCCCGCGCCGTCGCACATAGCAGCAGCGCCGCTGGGACCTGGGCGGCCTCGTCCGTGCCGAAGCCTACCACAGTCCTGCTCACGATCCCGAGGTTCACCATGCAGGCCTGCAGCGCCTCCTGGTCGAGCGCCTGCGTCCCTGCATCACTCGGGATCTTCTTGCCATCAACTCGTTCGATCTCGAACTGCTTCTCCCTCAGCGCCTGCTGATGCCAGAGATAGCGTGTCTGTAGGTGTCGCACGCGCCCGCAGCCCACACGGTGGATCATGCCGCGGGCCGCGTCCGAGTCCGTGCGGATGATCAGCTTCACGTCCGCTGGAAGGCCCGCTCCCAGCTAAGCAATCTCGACCATCACCTGCTTGACTGTGATCCCCCGAGCCCCCGCCGAGCCGATCGCATAGAACTCCGACTCCGCGCTGCTGACCGCGACGGCACCCCGGGTGATACTCCAGCTCTCGATGAGGTGGCCAGCGCTGGGGTCTCCGACCTGGATCGTGCCTGCCGACGTGCTCTTGCACGTGTGGACGTCGCCACTCCAGTCGCCGTCGGAGTGCACCACGATGTCGTTCCAGGACGCCTGGTAGAGGAACTCGATGCCAACGTCGTGCGTCCCAGCCAGGTCGCGCGCCAGCCTCCGCAACCTCATCATATTCAAACGCTTCGGATGTGACGTATCCGATGTCAACTGCTTCACTGCGAACTGGATGTTGAAACGGTCTGGGCCGATGTACATGCATATGCCCGCCCCCTGCAGTAGATCGCCTTCTCGGCCCGCTTCAGCTCCTCAAGTGCGTCTCGTGTGTTCTTGCTTGTCGCTCGGCTGGCAGGCGTCGGGGACGGCTTCACACCCTTCAGGTCCAGCAGCGTGCTCAGGTTCTCGAACTGCTTCGGGTCAGGCAGCAGCATGAACCCTCTCGGGCTCCACAGTAGAAGTCGTCGTAGGACCAGGCCCTTGTCCTCAGCTGCTGGCCCAGCCCTTAGGGGGGATCTTGGCCCTGAAACTGCCCGTGATCATGGCGTCGACCTTGTCCAGCTGCTGCGGCCCACCCTCGGTCTAGAAGTCGTCGCCGTGGAGCCGCGACAGGCAGTCACACTCGCTGTGATACGCCAAGCAGGGCACCGTCGACAGGATGTTCCAGCCGACGCCTCCTGCGAAGTCCCGCGCGACGATCCGTGATCGCGCGGAGTCTGGCCCCTTTCCGCGTGTGGAAGAGCTTGGTGGAGATCGCTCTCTCGCCTGGTGGCTTGTCGCTGCGCTTCTTCCAGACAGAATCACCTCGAACTCCTCCATCTCGTCGAGCTCGCGCGTCACGCCCTCCAGCACCAGCTCCTCCGGGAGGACCTCTCCAGTGTATTGGTCGTGGAAGCTGCCCGCAAACAGCTTCTCGTCGAAGGTCGGGGCGGGGGCCTCCTCGGCTTCTGGGTCGGTGTCCATGGGCGCAGCGGGGCCCACGTCGATGACTGGCCTCTTCCTCGCTGGCTCTCCGTCGTGGACTGTGTCACCTTCGCACTTCGGGCCGCTGGCCGCAGGCAACTTCAGCCCTGGAGATGCGCCGATGGCCTGCTCTGGGGTCCTGGGTCTCCTCCTGGAGGTCCTGGGGTCGGAGCCTCGGCGCTGCTTGCGCCGCTCGCCCGCTGTGTCTGGATCAGCCGCTCGGCCTACTTCCTGAAGATCTCCTCGAAGCGAGCCCTGCGCGCGATCGCGTGCACGCTGGACAGCCCCAGGCAGGCCGTGCAGTCAGGACTCTCACCGTGCTCCTGGATCAGGGCGCGGGTGATGCACCTCCGCCTCGCGCTACCACTGGGGTCTCCGTCGTCGGGGCCCGAGGGTTCCAGGGCGCGCCGATGAACGTCCTGAACTCCTCCTGGATCCAGCGCTCGCTCTCATCGCGCCCCTTGAATGACTTGGTGAACTCGATCCCTCGTGCTGCGCCCACGACAGCCTCATCGCTCTCGCCCCCTCCGCCCGAAGAACACTCCCGAGGCCCAGCGCGGGTCAAGCTTCGACTGGTCCTTGCGAATCAGCTCGGCGCCCGCCGTCTCGCCCACGCCCGCGAGAGGCGATGTGAACTCCTTACCTTGCATCGTCGCCCAGGCACTCCGACCATCACTCTTCAGCGCGAACCTGGTGATGATGTACGCCGAGTGTCTGGCCAGCCACGGGGGGATCACCGACTGGCTCGTCGCCTCGGTCTTGCGCATGTCCTCGGTGACGGCCACGCAGGTGCGAGTGGGCGACTCCACCCTGCGCGCCACCACCTCGATGCCGCCGTTCGCCTTGCTGTCGTGCTTCGTGGACTTCTCGATCGCAGCGCGGCGGTGCTCGACTTGGCGCCGGCGTAGCTCCACGAGCAGAGCCTGGATGACTGGCCCCTGGTCTGCCCTCAGCGCGACCTCGCCAGCGCCCCGCGCGTCGAGGTAGAACAGCACGAACTCGACTGCAACGTCATCGACCCCCTTCTTCGCCACCTGCGTCGCCCCCGCGGCGCTGGGGGCCTCGGTGCGAAGACCAGGACCGCGGTCTCCTGCAGCTCCCCTTCACGCGCCAGGAAGCAGCAGTCCAGCGCGAGCTTCGCCACCGTCGACTCCTTGGACTGGCTCTCGTGGGGGCCCTCGGTCGCCTGGCCCGTCAAGCAGTACCTGCGCCAGGCGCGGCGCGGACAGTGGGTCAGCTCGTGCCTAGCCTTCTCCTCCGCGCTCGGCCAAGGCGCAGGCGCTTTGGTGAGCGTGGGCCGGGCGCCCTCGCTCTCCTCGAGGTCGTCGCTGAACCTCGCGCGCTTCTTCTGCCCCTCGTCCTTCTCCTGCGCCGCGCGCAGCTCGCCGCTGCTCGAGCGCCGCCGAGCCGGGATGACGAGGGCGCCGTTCTTCCGCCTCAACTCGACGGACTTGTTCTGTCCGACGCTGTCTCTCACGACCATCGCCAACTTCTACGCGTGCTTGGGCTTCGCGACGTATCTCCCTCCACTGTGCAGCCGCGTTCCGTAGCCCGCGTCGACTGCCGAGCTCGCCGCCATGATCGGCTTCCGCACCCCTTTCGCCTCGATGTTCACCGTCGGCTGCTCGCCCGAGCTCTGGTCCACCATGCTCACCTCCTTCCTGACGTAGTGCACGACCTCGTTGCCGCCCGCCTGGTAGAGCGCCGCGCCGCGGCACTCGTCGACGGCGACCTCTGGGGCCCATGTCGGCGGACAGACGCTCATCGCCGCGCGCGCGTCGAAGAGGAGGTCGATCTCGTCGCCCTCGAGCGCGCGGCAGTCCCCCATCACGATCACCTCGTCAGTCACGGACGAACCCGTCTGCCTCATCGTAGTAGTCGTCATCTGACAGCGCCGCCAGCGCTGCCATGTTTCCCTTCTCGGCGTCCGCACGCTTGCCAGTGACCTCGTCGACTGGCTTCCCCATGCGTCGCCCTGCCTTGTCGGGCTTGATGCCCTTATTCGCGCGGTCCGTCGCGAGCGCCCTGCACTCTTGCTTCGCGCGGTTCGGCTTGGCGCAGTAGAAGCAGACCTTTTTGTTCTTACCCTTGCCGTCGTCGTCCTTTCCTTTGCCTGACTTGCCTTTGCCCTTGCCTTTGCCGCCCCTTCGTCACAGGGTGCAGTTCTTCCGTCGCTGGGCTCAGGTCCATGGGCACGGGCTCCTGCTCCTGGCTGGCGGTCGCGCGCAGGTGCGAGATCGCCTCGTCCCTGGCCGCTCCGCACGTATGCAGGCGCCCCGCCTGCAGTTTGAGGCGGGTCCTCAGGTTGCCTTTCAGGGGCTTGCTGTTGAGCGTCGCTAGCCTGATCGCGTCGGCCATGGTGTCACCCGACTGCTCCTCATACTGATTCAGCTGCTGCCCCCATGCGTAGATGTTCTCGACAGCGTCTGGGCCGCGCGCAGGGTCCAGCAATTGCTGCAGCATGCCCTGGAAGCGGCTGGGAAGCTGCGGCTCAAACTCAATGCGCAACTGCCTCCGAGCCTCGATGCCCCCTCCTTCGGGCACCCGCTGCACGGCTGACGACGCTCGCCCACGACAGGTGAGCGCCAGCGCGTAGAAGATCTGCGCCGAGAGCCGTCTCTCGCGGGGCTCCATCGCGACGTTACTGATGGGCTGGTCCTCATCCGTCCGTCTCGCCGCGAAGTCCAGCGCCTCCCTGCGCGATGCGCCGAACGCTCCAGCATAGGCTCTGAACGTGAAAGACCACTGCTGCCAAGCTAATCCACTTTCTGGCTTGCCCTCGGTCGTCGCATCTCCTGAGTGCGGCGGCGGCTTGCCGAGGGCCCGTGTGTCCACCGGCGCATTGCCGTCCTGGCCCGTCGTCGGGGCTGGCGCTTCTGGTGGGCCCGCTGGGACTGCTGTCGTCTGGGCTGAGAGTCTGTCGATCACCGTTCTGGCTTCAACCGGCTGGCTCTGCAGCGCTGCCTCTTGGCGCTGCCTCTCCACTATCTGCTGCTCCGCGGCGACCGGCCTGGCCTCTAGTGCCCTGAGGGCCTCATCCATGGCTCGGGGACCACGCTCCGCGCTGCCATGCTACGGTTCCTGGCGCGGATGTTTTGGCAAGCAAACGGCTGCGGACAACCTGCTTCGCAATCTCTCGCATGTTGCTGGGGTCTCTGCGCAGGCTCTCAAAAACGGCTGGGCGCATGCATGTTGGCCCTTGGGCCGCGCGCCCTCGAGCCCGACGGCGCCCCTTGCGCGCGGCGCGTCGCGGGGCCTCCGTTTGGCGGGGGGGGGGGGGGGGGGGCGTGAACAGAGATGGCTGCGGGCGCCGCCGACAGCGGGGCCCCGCTCGCAGCGGTCTTGCAGCGGAGGCGCGGCATGCTGGACTTCCACCTCAGGGCCGCAGCGGGGGCCAGCGGCGCCTCGCGCGCATGGCCCGTCGCAGCGCGGCGACGCCTCCTGCAGCCGGGCTTTGCTGGGGAAGGAGCGGCGGCGCCGCCAACGGTTGGCCCGAGAGCTCAACGGTGGCGCCGAGAGCGTCATCGACAGCCTCACCGACCACGGCAGCCAAGAGTTTCGCCGACAGTGGCGCCGAGAGCTGCGCCGAGGCTCCACCGATTCCAGCGCCGACAGCTTCGCCGACGGTTCTGCCGACGGCTTCGCGAACACCTCCGCCGAGTATTTCGCCGACGGCGTTGCCAACGGCTGCGCTGGAGTGTTCCGCGGAGAGTTTCACCGACTGCTGCGCCGACGGTTTCGTCAACAGCAGCCGCGTCGACAACTTCGGCGACGGCCTCGTCGGAGGCCTCGTCGGCAGCTCCGCCGGCGGCGGCTCCGACGGCGTCATCGACTGCTTCGCCAAGGGATTTGCCGACAGCCTCGCCGACAGTTTCGCGGGCCGCGGCGCCGACGGCTTCGCAGACAGCTTCGCCGGATCGACGCCGACGGCATCGCCGCGTCGCGAACCCGGCGACGACTGCAGTCTGAAGTATAGTTGGGGCGGGGGCTCAGGAAACTCGCTGAGTTTTGCGGAGGGCGGGGGGGAGGGGGGGCGCGCTGTAGCTGTTCTCTGTTCTATCGGCTAGCGCAGTCAGTCGAAACCTTCGGCCTGGCAGCGAATCTCGAACGCATAACAGATTTATGGGGTTCTGGATCTACTAGGATTCAAAAAATGAGCGCGTTGAAGATTGGGATCTCCTCTTGACGCCCTGATGGGCGAGGAATTTCTGGCAATCTCTCTTGAGGCCCTGTGGGGAGATAGAATTTCTGGGATCTCCTCTTGAGGCCCTTAGGGTAGTTAGAATTTCTTGGTGCCGTTGGGGTCTTGCAAAATCTCTGAGCCCACCCATCAAGAGCGGGTTGGCCATCTGGGGAGAACTCGACAGGCTCTTGGCGCCCTCGCTCGCTGAAAATGCATTAATCTTCGCATTGCTTCGAGGGAATGGGCGACTTCCGACATCCGTGAGTTCGTCTAGAATTGGTTGCGGCTATTTTCGCTCTGCTTCCTATCCGCCCTCTGGACGTTCCATCGGCTACAGCGGCCCCTGTTCTTCCATCGTTGCCCAATTCCATTCCCACCACAGCTCCCAGGAGCTCCCACGGAGCTCTAACATACCATGTTAGAGTTCCCAGGGAGCTCTAACATACTCTACCATGCTATGTTAGAGCTCCGTTGGAGCTCTAACATACCATGTTAGAGCTCCCACGGAGCTCTAACATACCATGTTAGAGCTCCCTGGGAGCTCTAACATACTCGAACCTATTATGTTAGAGCTCCGTTGGAGCTCTAACAAGCCATGTTAGAGCTCCCACGGAGCTCTAACATGCCATGTTAGAGCTCCCAGGGAGCTCTAACATACTGGAACATGGTATGTTAGAGCTCCCAGGGAGCTCCCACTGAGCTCTAACATGCTATGTTAAAGCTCCGTTGGAGCTCGGTATTTGAGAGCTCCCAGGGAGCTCCAACATGGGAGCTCTAATATAGCATGTTAGAGCTCCCTGGGAGCTCTAACATACTCGAACATGCTATGTTAGAGCTCCGTTGGAGCTCTAACAAGCCATTTTTGAGCTCTGACGGAGCTCTAACATACCATGTCAGAGCCCCACATACTGGAACATGCTATGTTAGAGCTCCGTTGGAGCTCTAACATACTCGAACATGCTATGCTAGAGCTCCGTTGGAGCTCTTACATACCATGTTAGAGCTCCCAGGGAGCTCCCACTGAGCTCTAACATGCTATGTTAAAGCTCCGTTGGAGCTCGGTAGTTTAAAGCTCCCAGGGAGCTCTAGCATGGGAGCTCGAACATTGCATGTTAGAGCTCCCAGGGAGCTCTAACATACTCTACCATGCTATGTTAGAGCTCCGTTGAAGCTCTAACAAGCAATGCTAGAGCTCCCACGGAGCTCTAACATACCATGTTAGAGCTCCCAGGGAGCTCTAACATACTGGAACATGCTATGTTAGAGCTCCGTTGGAGCTCTAACGTTAGAGCTCCCAGGGAGCTCTTGGAACATGCTATGTTAGAGCTCCGGGAGCTCTAACATACCATGTTAGAGCGCATACCATGTTAGAGCTCCCAGGGAGCTCTAACATACTCGAACATGCTATGTTAGAGCTCCGTTGGAGCTCTAACAAGCCATGTTAGAGCTCCCACGGAGCTCTAACATACCTCTAACATACTGCATGCTATGTTAGAGCTCCGTTGGAGCTCTAACCCATGGAGCTCCCACGGAGCTCTAACATACCATGTTAGAGCTCCCAGGGGCTCTTACATACTGGAACGTGGTAGGTTAGAGCTCCCAGGGGGCTCTGATATACTTAGAGCTAGCTCTATACATGCTATGTTAGAGCTCCGTTGGAGCTCTAACAAGCCATGTTAGAGCTCCCACGGAGCTCTAACATACCATGTTAGAGCTCCCAGGGAGCTCCCACTGAGCTCTAACATGCTATGTTAAAGCTCCGTTGGAGCTCGGTATTTTAGAGCTCCCAGGGAGCTCTAACATGGGAGCTCTAATGTAGCATGTCAGAGCTCCCTGGGAGCTCTAACATGCTATGTTAGAGCTCCCTGGTAGCTCTAACCTACCCGCCGCCGCCGCCGCTGCCGCCTCAGAGCTCCCACGGAGCTCTAAAATGCGATGTTAGAGCTCCCAGGGAGCTCTAACAACATACTCTAACATGTGATGTTAGAGCTCCATTGGAGCTCTAACATACGATCGGATTCTCGGGCCCCGGCTGTCGACCCCCGTCGGGAGGGCCGAGTGGTCGAGGGGCCTCCCGACGGAGGGCCCTCGCAGATGAGTCATCGTGCGGCGCCCCCCGACAGTCCGACGGTCTCCCCCGTGGCCAGTGGCCCATGGCCCGTGACCCGTCGTCTTCGTCACCGTCCGTCGGCGTCGCTGCCTCAGCCTCAGCCGTCTGCAGTTCGAAGGCCCAGTGCTTCGGCTGTACTCCTCCTCAGCCTGAGCAGGCGACCCCCCCCCGCCTCGGACTCAGGCGTCGACGCGGCGTCGACGCTCGCCGCGATGGCCGCGATGGCAGCACCTGGGCCGTCGACGACGATTCACATCCAGCTCCAGCTTCGTGTGACCATCAATAGAGATGGAGTCGTGGTGGGTGGTGTGGACATCAACAATGGAGATGGAGTCGTGGCGGGCGGCGGCGGCGACGACCAGCGCGCCCCGGGGGCCGCCGCCGTGTTCCAGCATGCGGTTCATGTGCCAGCTGCTGGTGGTGGTGGCGCTGCGGCCGCAGGCCCTGTGGGCGCCGCTGCAGCTCTGGGTGGCGCAGGGGCCGCACTCCCACTCCCACCCCTAGCACTTCCTGTCGCTGCCGCTGGGCAGCCTCCTCCTGTCGCTGTGCAGCCTGGGCAGCCTGGGCTGCCTCCACCGGCACCAGCGGGGCAAGCCTTGCGGGTGCCCGAGGGGTCTGAGGCCAACGAATTCGGCTGGCCAGCCACTGCGCCGTGGATCGCACCGCACTTCCGCCGGATCTTGCCCCTCGCGGCTGACGCGCTCGGGTACCGCAGCAGCCACGTGATGGGCCGCTATCGCGGCGTTGACATCTGCACCGTATGCGGCGGCTTCTCTGAGCATGTATGTGGCAGGAAGCTCCGCGCGCCCTGTTCAGGGACCCGCAGTGATCACTATGGCAGGCGCAACCTTCTTCACATGCGCGGCGGCCACCACCCCAAAACTAACCGGGATTTTTTGGGCCGCTAGCAGCGTGGCGAGGGCCCGCCACGCGCCGAGCGTTGGAGTAAATGGGGGGAGGAGGGGAGGGGAGATGGGGGCGAGGCGATATGATCAGAGATTTTGACGACCGTGACGACGACCGTGACGACGACGACGACGCGACGACGACCCGACCCGACTCGCCCTTAATCCTCAGGCCTCATCTGCATTCTGTGCCCTGCAGGACGCCGCCCCCGCGGCTGCCTCCCACGGTCCGTCGGCCCGATGGCGCGCGCGCGCGCTCCATGCGAGGCCGTGCGGGCTGCAGCATGCGTGCCGTCTCATCCCCCGTCCCGCAGCGCGCCCCCCCCTCCCCCCCCCGCTGGCGCCGCTGGACGTTTGCGCAAGTGTCGGGCTTATGCCGATCGGATCAACGCCCCATGGCTCCAGGGCCCCCCAGGGCTTCCCCCCCCCCCCGACTACATGAATTATCCGACGCTGTCCGCCGCGAGGGCCGGGGGGGGGGGGGCGCGCTGTAGCTGTTCTCTGTTCTATCGGCTAGCGCAGTTTTGAAGCCTTCGGCCTGGCAGCGAATCTCGAAAAAGCATAACAGATTTATGGGGTTCTGGATCTACTAGGACTCAAAAAATGAGTGCGTTGAAGATAGGGATCTCCTCTTGACGCCCTGAGGGGCGAGGAATTTCTGGCAATCTCTCCTGAGGCCCTGTGGGGAGATAGAATTTCTGGGATCTCCTCTTGTGGCCCTTAGGGTAGTTAGAATTTCTTGGTGCCGTTGGGGTCTTGCAAAATCTCTGGGCCCACCCATCAAGAGCTGGTAGGCCATCTGGGGGGAACTCGACAGGCTCTTGGCGCCCTCGCTCGCTGAAAA